AGATCCCCAGGACATACTGCCAGCAACTCAGATTCAGAAGTTTCTCGTGCAGCCTAGGAATCCCTATTTTAATCAAGAATTCCAGGCAGTTTTAATGCTGGTAGTACCTTAACCAAATTTTTTTTTTCTTTTTTTTTTCTGTGTCCGGCAACGGATCGCAACCCTCAGTGTCGCCCCCGTACCGGACCGGGACCAGCAACGGGATCGCAACCCTCGGTGTTGCTCCCGTGCCTCGCTCAGCCCGTGAGCAGGAACCAGTCTGTATGTGGGATCCGAACCCTCGGCGGGAGCGCCTCCGCGCTTCCCAAGCGGCGCACTAGCGCAGTGCGCCACCGGGCCAGCCTTTAACCAAATTTTGAGATACAACTGTTATAGTTACTTTTACAACTGTGTTTTCCTACAACCTCATCCAGCTACGATTGTGAAGATGCCCATTAGAGTACTTAGTAGGCATATCCTGGAGGTGAATATGTAAGAGAGAAAGAAATTCCTTGCATAAATGCTTGTGGCACTGTTATTATGATGTAGTAATTATTTTTTGAGAAGAGATCAAAAGAATCATAATAATTTTTAATAGGGTAGAAAAATTCCAAAGTGCACCACTGAATTCCTTCACACCTCTGGAGGTGTTAAACAAACAGGTGAACCAATCTCCTGTTTTTATTAAATTCTGGAGAAAAAGAAATGGACTTTCAATGTTGCATCAGACCTTTGGCAAAAAATCACAAGAAAAAAAATCTTTGACTGGTAGGTTGTGAAATGTTGGAAAGTCCAGGTTAGAAAATCTTGAATATCCGGGCTCATGTAGGTGTGAGCTGGCCCAGGTAGCCCCTAAGACTTTTCACTCTAGGATTTTGTCTCTAGATTACTTGATCTACATCTCCTCTAATTAGAAGCAAAGCTTAATTTCAGTGTTTAATTTCATAACCCTTATTTTCTATAAACATATCTTTGATCAGCAGCCTAATGCAGTTTTTAAAAATATAATTACTGTGGATGCTATTGAGCACCAATTAATAAAGGAAGGTTGTCAGGAATGAGTTGCACTATTGTTAGCAGCTCCTTTTCATTTATGAAATACAAGCACACAAATGACTAACTGTGTTAGGAAAATAGGCTTAATTTTCCTAATTGTGTGACAATGAAGCTCCTTGAATATTTTGCAAAAAACTAGATAAAAGAAAATTGAAAAAAACAATAAAACCTACAACTGAATATAAAATAAATGCCCTGCTATAGAAATATAGAAAGCCTGTGTTTCACATGTGATTATCATGACTATCAGTACCCTGTCCCATCCCCACCTCCATACACATACCTGTGCACACTGATGATCCATATAGAAAACTGGTGTGTTGCCCATTGACCACCTTGATAAGAGGCTTTTACCTAAAACTCCTTTTAAAAGATTGGAAAGAAGCAAGCATTACAATAAAATGCAACTACAAAAATTCCTTCACTGAGAAAATAGTCATTTCTGCTCAGCTAGTTAATAATTCTTGAGTGTAGGATGGCCAAGAAGGAAACAGGACCTACAAAGAGGTATTTACGGTATTAGGCAGATAGAAAGTCTGAATAGTAAGGAGTTCTGGAGTTTGTCATATTCAACCCTGGGATGGCCAAGAAGGAAACAGGACCTACAAAGAGGTATTTATGGTATTAGGCAGATAGAAAGTCTGAATAGTAAGGAGTTCTGGAGTTTGTCATATTCAACCCTCTCATATTATAGATGAATGACTTCAGGTCCAGAGAGATAAGAGTGACTTGCTTAAGGTCACACAGTTCTTTGGTGGTAGAATACAATTTAATGTGCTTTCTATTGCTCTCTATGCTGACCCTGTGATTTGAAATGACATAATTGTCTTAACTGGTCATATTCTTATAATCTTTCTACCAATCCTGTTATTTTCACTCTAATACAGAATTGGCTAGGCAATTTTCTCCCAATTATAAATATAAAAATCATGCCCTACCCTTAGATATTTTGATCAGTAGGGTTAGGGTGGGACTCAGGAATTATTATTTGCAAGTGCACCAGGTGATTATGATGCAAACAGTCTGGGACCCACTGAGAATCACTGAACTGGAGTCCCTCTAAGCCCCCACCAGTCACTCTCTGGGATTAAGTGGCATGTCTGTCAGGAGCTCAGGTGAACTGAGCGGGAAGGAGCTGAGCTGTTAGGTGTCAGAGTAGCCCATTAAAGCAACAAGCCAAAAATGAAAGAGTAAAACCTTTAATCAAGCTTACTGCTATGGCATAAGCAAGAGTCTAAAACCAGAGAAAACACCAATCTGCCCTATTCCATTTTCCCCCATGGAACAGGACACACTGATGGGGGGACCAGCACAAACATGGGGGGATGGTCTCACTGTTAAGTGAGCCGTAAACAAAAGGCTACAGCAGTTTTAAGGACCCTGAGGTGAGGGATGGGGAGGCTCGAGGGAGGGAAGGAGTGGGAAAGTACTGAGTCAAAATGGAGAAAAGTGTCTTCAAAGTTTTTCCCTCCTTCCCCCATAAGGAGGTCTTGGCAGAGACACCTGAAGAAAACCTCTGCCAGAGGCTCAGGCAGAGACCTGGGAATGAAGGCACTCACAGGGGCTGGGAATGCAAGTATGCAAAGAACACGATGAGCCAGGGGGCCTGAGGCCGGGGCTGCAACTCCCCTCAAAGCCTGCTGCTTGCTGGCCACTGGCCATGCACCAAGTCTGGGATGGGGGCAGGGGCAGCTCTCCTTGGGAGGCCTGCCAGAGGCCTTTGTAATCTCCCAGGTCAGGCCTGAAAATCACACACAGGTTTTTAACAAGAAGCCAAACTTCTCAATGTTTAGGAATGCACACTGCTTCTTTCCTGTCATCAGGGAATGTTTTAACCAGTAGACTATGGGCCTCAGGGAGAAGACAGCAAATTGAGCCAGATTCCCCTGATGATTGTTCTACAGCCTAGCAGTAGACAAGAGCCTGGAGAAGCAAACACTTGGGCATTTATCTATCAATTAGTGCTTGATTGGCTTGAGGCAAACAGTGCAGGTCTCACAGTCAAGGAAAAGCTTGAGATCTGAAAGGAATCTAATGACTAACAGCAATAAGTTTAAAAATTATATTTCGGGGCTGTTAACACTTAGACACATTCAGTCATTCAGCCAACCAATATACTCGCTCAGCATATGCCCTGTGCCTAGCATTCTGTGAACTTGGTATACAGAAAACAAGATAGATAAGATTTCACCCCTTCTCATGGCTAAATTCTAGCAAGGGAGACAGACAATACAAATGTTTCCCATTTGTATTGAAGGGGATAAGTGCTATGGAAGAAGAAAACGTATAGCAGGATAAGAGAGCTTGGGAGTGTGTGTGGAGAAATGAAATTTTACGTAGGGTGATAATAGATCCAACAATCCCTTGCATCTCCATTGTATCTTTATATTGTTGCTAAATTAATCTAAGACTTCTGATTTTACTATTTCCTTGCTCAAAAATCTTCAATGATTCTCACTGCCCAAAGCACAAAGGATAAGCCCACCTTCCAGCACTCAAGATTCTCATTGTTTGAGATTAGTTCTCCTTATTGCCCCCTCCTGCTCCAGCAAACCAGATGGCAGTCTGGCCATACCCTGCTCCACCTTGGTGCTTTTCCTCCAGTGGCCTCATGCTTCCAGCACTCAAGATTCTCATTGTTTGAGATTAGTTCTCCTTATTGCCCCCTCCTGCTCCAGCAGACCAGATGGCAGTCTGGCCATACCCTGCTCCACCTTGGTGCTTTTCCTCCAGTGGCCTCATGCTCTCTTCTCTGACAGAATACCCACTCTTCAAAGCTCAGCTCAATATTTCTTCCCAGCAAAGCCTCCCTAGATCTCCCTATTCCATGGAAATTCTTTTTCCTCTAAACTCCCACAATATATTAAGCTATGAATACAGCATTCAACAGATATATTACAGTTATAAAAACACTTAACTCTTTTACTGGATTGTAAGCTTCTTAAAGACAAGAACCACTTCCTCGAATATCCCCACAGTATTTAGCATAGTGTCTTGCAAGTATGACCTCATGTAGTTAAGAGTTTCTTGCCACTTTCGATATATAAAGAAAAAAGGCAAAATGTGTTTAATAGTAGGTAGCCAGCCCGTGTTTTTAAAATCTGACTCTTTCTGAGATGGAAGTCAAGGCTTCATCTATGGCTTCACAATGCTGAAAGTGCTAAGGATTCGCATGGGCAGCATAAGATTGTAAGACACAAAGGAAGTATTGTCATTTTAATTTTTTCTTCAAATAAAATGTACATAATTAGAAATCAGGGACTAAGTTCTATACTTCTACAATGCTGAGGATTGAATTTTGCTTAAAGTAAGAGCTTAACTTATATGTTATGGGGAGAAGTTTTCAGTACTCTATTTTGAATTCTGATTTTAAAAACATACCAACAGTAATACAACCCTATAATAATGTAAGTATAATTGCAAAGGCACTTCATAATCCTTGCATGGAGATGCTTTTATTTAGCACTAAAAGATACTTTGGGTCACTTCTCCTCCAGCCCAAATCTCACCTGGAGAGATATGCAGCACTTGGTTGTCTGGACTTCTGAGTATGACCCACTGGCCAATAACCCTGGATGGAAGAAGAACGGAGCAGGCTTGATGGTGAACAGTCGATTTGGATTCGGCTTGCTTAATGCAAAAGCTTTGGTGGATTTAGCTGATCCCAGGACCTGGAGCAGTGTGCCTGAGAAGAAGGAGTGTGTTGTAAAGGACAATGACTTTGAGCCCAGGTAAGTGACTCCAGAAATTTTAAACAAAGATGTGCCCATGGCACTATTTGATTAAAGTGTTTGTCACTTTGCCTAATTTTTTTCTCACCTGCCCTTCTGAAGTAGACGGATATGGAGTTTGCCAGTGTTCTCTGTGGGTTTCCGTGGGGAATCACTAGGAGACCAAAGATCTATAAACTATCTTAGCATATTTGCATTTTCCTCTCGTAGCCCATATACCATGTAGCATTAAATCTAAGGAGTACCATTGCTTAATGTACCACTATGAAAAGGCATTATCAATTAAGCTATGACCAACCAACCATTAATTTTAAGAAACGTCCCAAATTCAGATGTTAAACTACTAAAAAATGCGTCTTAGAATTGACAAAATTCACTTGCCAACCAGTATTATCCAAAACCTACTTCCAGAATAGCCTCGCTTCATGCCCTGGTGCAGTGTGATTCATGACTTTTCTTCCATGAAGGATCCTCTATCACACTGCGTGTACATAGACCACCTCTGGCCTACATCATCGGGCCACAGAAGCAGAATGTGCTATGAGTGTTTTGTTGTTTCTATCAAGGCAACCACGATTATACTGAAGACCCACTTGCACAAAGTACCTGAGGGTGAAAGGTTTGGGCACTTGTTTTAGGAAGGCCTTATAGATAAAATAAATATTTTTTAAGAGGTTCTTTTTGATATTGCAATAGTGAGCCACTTTTTTTGATAGATCCAAGGCCTGGATTTGATTCCATGGCAAATAGCATTATATTCTAATTTCTGTGTTCCTTACCATTTTATTATGCATTAAAATTCATTTATAGCTAATCCTGGATTGGATTCTATTCAGAACAGGGAGCAACAGCAAGCCTAGTTGAGTATCTAGTCCAGACCAATGTGTACATATAAGCATAGAATGCAAGGAAGAAGAGAGATATTCTATTCAATGCTGATTCTTTGATGTACTTAGAGTCCTGAAAGCTAATGGGGAAGTTATCATTGAAATTCCAACAAGAGCTTGTGAAGGACAAGAAAACGCTATCAAGTCCCTGGAGCACGTACAATTTGAAGCAACAATTGAATATTCCCGTAGGGGAGACCTTCATGTCACACTGACGTCTGCTGCTGGTAAATAAACAAAACAAAACAGAACAATAAACTTCCAAACCATTGTTTATATTTTTAAGTGTAAATCAAATCAATAATTGTTTTTGTTTATTCATAGGACTAAGTCTCTAATAGATATTTTTGGGTCTTAAAAAACATGCTTATTTTTTCATTTTTCTTGTTGTTAGATCTCCCTCTGCTCTGCTCATCCAACTGGTTCTTAGATAAGCAGAGAATGAGGCCTATTTAAATAAGACCAATTAACAAACTTTTCTGGAGTCACGCATTTTCAAACTGTGTTCACTTTCCTAGATTACTGATCTATTTTTCATTTCTCTTAGGTAACACATTAGTGAAATTTACTCTGATAATTAATTAATGAAATTTATAGATGTATCTGAAACATCCAAGGAATCATTCAAAAAACTGGGAATTTTAATTTTGATTTATGAAGGAAGGTTGAGAAGGTTGATTTTGATTTATGAAAGAAGGTTGAGACTAACAAATTTTCCATAATGATATGAATACGGCAATATGATATGATAAATGGTCATTTTCCCTTTTCTGAGAGGGTACAAATTCAGATGAGATAGTGGATGGGAAAGGGCTTGTGAACCATAAACCACAATCCATAAACAACAACAGGAGAAGCTGTCCTAATATTCTTTTCCATTTTACTAGGACTTAGCTGACTAAATTCAATTTCTGTAGGTGCTATATGAGAAAGATGAGCTATCTCTATGATTTTCTTCCAGGATGTGAATTCCCAGAGGTTTGGAGTAGGATCTGTTAATTTTGGAGTTATGATTTCTAGATGTCTTGGAATTGGCCTAAAATAGTGATGGATTTTTTTTTCATTAGTGGACCTGTAGTTCATTTAACCCTTTCACTTAGAAATGTTGATTGATCTATAGAGGGCTTGGACTTGAAAATCGAGTTACTCCTATTACTAGTTTTTATATGACCAGAGATTATTAAATTAATATAGCTTTAATAAATTAATACATCGATTAAATAACTAATGATAATTAATAATTAAATGATAAATTAATTTTTATGTCTACATTAGATTATAGATTCAGGCACCTATTAAATTTTCAAGATTTCCTTTTACATTTCAAAATGATAGTTCCATTCAAATGTATCTTGGATCTTTCGCTCTCTTCTTTAATCCAATTTGTAAATGCAAAAGTTTTCTGTGTTCTCCTTATTCAAATAAACCTTAGTCAACATATTCATTCATTATTTATTCTTCCACAATATTTACTGAAGAAAATAATACTTATTATTATATGCCAGGAAATGTGCTAAATACTGTGGATAGAAACGTTGTTTTTCCTCATGAATGTCTCTATCCTGGTCTTATACTAAAAGGGAAAATTAGGAGGACTAATCTCTCCCAGCTTTCATTTTTAGTTATCAGATGCTAGAGTATATCCTGCTATCAGAGCTGTGAGGACATTCGTTAACTGTGTTTGTTGCATGAACATAGGAACCAGCACTGTATTGTTGGCTGAAAGAGAGCGGGATACATCTCCTAATGGCTTTAAGAATTGGGACTTCATGTCTGTTCACACATGGGGAGAGAATCCTATAGGCACTTGGACTTTGCGAATTGCAGACATGGTAAGTATGAATGAGAGGTGGAAGAAACACCAGCTTACTTTTAAACACTTCGAAGCACTTTTAAGTTTGATGTCATCATCAGTTAGGGCCCTAAAGAACTTGACCACTCCTTAATGGAAGAGAAAGTATAGTGTTTCAAGCCCTGCCTACTTAGTTATAGAAAATAATAATAAAAGAAAATTAGGCACCAGCCATATTGTAAGAAGAAAAAAAGATATACTGATAAAGAATGTGATGTCTGAATGCATCCAGCCACATGATCTATTCAGCCACCAGCATCAACCACATTCACAAAAATAGTCAAATGCTCAGACCAGCTTTGGCATGATAATCTGCCAAAGTTGCATAAAGGCACTCTTAAAATTATTCTGCAGCAGCTATTTAGAAGTAGGTTAATGTTAGGCAAGATATCTTATTTAATATGACTTTGTTTTCCAGTTTCAGTCATGAAACAAACTGAAAAGGCTTTCTCATTTCTTTTTCACTTTCACTCTGTTTACTAACACTCTTTGACATTTTTCTGTAATTTTAACACACAGTCATAAAAATGAAAAAACACAGTGAGAGTGTCAAGTGAAAAGCTTGATGTAGCTGAATTATTCATGTTTTGCATCATTTCTCCAGCATTCTCTATAGGTAAGAATATAAACGAACAGTGTTTTGACTCTGAGTTTTCCTGAGAGAAATATGTAGTATTAACAGTGTAGATTTCAATGTCTAGATAACTTTTTATTTATTTTATTTATTTATTTTGGAAGTATCAACTTTGTCTTTATTCTAAAGCAAGTACAATTCATTGCAGCATATCTAGTAATAGCAATCTAAATGACCATCAGCACAAAAGTGGATAAATAAATTGTGACGTGTTCCTTAGAGTACCATTTCACTGGAGCTGCAAGGATGAATGAGCTGTATACAGTAGGCTTGAACTAGAGTCAGCTTGGTATCATTGCAAGAAATTACTTTAAATTCCTGAAGGTGTCAATTAAGTTAATATAAATTCCATAGTCATTGTCACCTTTTTTCTCTGAGAATAGCATTCTCCTAAAGACTGCTAAAGTTGTGATTTAGAAATGAAAGTTGTATAAAGTCCTGTTTTCATAGGGAGAGCAATAAAATGTTCTTAGTAGGGTGGACCTGCTCTTGAACTTATCCTCTATTCTTCAACTCTGTTTCATCATCAGGAAAATAAAAAAGTCGATTTACCAAGATGGGACTATTTTATATCAAGTCTGCAAAATCTGGCACTGTATTTTTAGATTTTTTAAAAGATATTTTAGATTTCAGCACACTATTTATAACATAATTATTCAGCTTCTAAAAATTATTATTTTTCATATAAATATACAATTTTTAAGGGATATTAATGCTGGAGACTTTATAACACAGCATAGAGGCTGGCTTTTTTCCCAGTGGAACGTTTCTATAAGTTGATAATTGGGAAATATAAATCTATTGATAGTCAACTTTTCAAGAACACATCCAATATGGAAAAGAAGATTTACATACCGAGTTCTCCTTTTTTAACTAAATGCTTGATCATGAAGCAATTCATCAGTTTTTAAAATATTTAATTATAAACTATTAATTTTTATAGCAAGAGTGAATCCGATGATTTCTTTCAACATAGAGCTCTGCACATGGAAATGTACAGAATCTTGCAATTAGATTTTAGCTATGAAATCCTTTTTAGATATTTCAAATACATTTATATTATTCAAAACACACACTAAAATATATGTATACTTATTCACTAGTCCGGAAGAATGCAAAATGAAGGAAGGATTGTGAACTGGAAGCTGATTTTGCATGGAACCTCTTTGCAGCCAGAGCACATGCAACAGCCTCGCGTGTACACGTCCTACAACACCGTTCAGAATGACCGAAGAGGGGTGGAGAAGATGGTAGACTTGGGAGAGGTTTGTGCGGCTCTGTTCTCAGCTTGCTTGCTTTCAAACTGACGTAGACAATGTGGTGAGTGGAGCTGCGCCTAACTTTTAGTCAGGGACTAAATCACACATGGACGAGGAGGAAAGGCAGTGGTAATGGTAAAGTCTTTATTTTCCATAGGATGAGACCTTATTTTTTAAAAATTTGTTCTTTTATCCAGAATTTAGAAATCAAAATTGATGAATTCAAAATTATTAAACTCTCTGACATGAAATTTTCTGCATTTATGACAGATATCAAATTATAAAGAAAACTGACATTCCACATGTTCACATATACCTACTGTTTCTATTGCATTTACTTTTTAAGCATTTTCTGCATTGTCTCACTTAACCTATAATCCCTGTATATTAGTGTGCACATTTTGCAGAAAGAGAATGAAGGCTCCGGTGGCGAAATCATGTAGGCTTCTCTTTACTAATTTCTTAACCAACACTTCTTGGCAACAAGGGGAGCTATAGATTTCACTCAGAAAATTTCAGGGGATAGCTAAAGTCAGTCATTTATGTTCCTGGGTCTCAGCCTACTGAAGCTGCTGGCTTCTCCCCTATCAGATAGATGGTGGGCAGAAACCACATTTTATTTCCGTATCTCCCAGCAGCTAGCACAGTACTTCAGATGTAGTAGGTAAGTTTTCAGAATTTCCAGAATGACCTGCCCTTCCCAGAATGACCTGCCCTGAATAGGTCCGTCTTTGTTCTGGGTGTTTTGGAAGATACAGAGACATCGCATTTATCCAAGAAACTTAAAAACTATCTGTGTGAAGGCCTCAGCTCAGATTCTGGCTCCATTTTATTCTTCAAAGCAGCTTCTCTCCAGGACCTGAGTCCAGGGCCTCTTCTTCCCAGCCAGAGAGTGCGTTAACCTTCTGAGTGTTCCTCTCTCTGAGATTCCTTAAAGGGTATTAACAGAAGCCTTTCATTATTAAAATGTTGAAACACTTCCACAGTGGTTGACAAAGAGTGACTTCTCTGATCTCTTCAGTTCTCCCCAGCCCACCACCTTAAACCCTCCCCATGGCCCCTTCTTACAACTCAGTAGCTAAAAGGTAGCTCCTGACAGAGCAAGAGACCTCCAGGAAACCTCTCCCACGCTGCGACAACTGGTCAGTGCCTTATGAGTCGTTGAATGTTTTAATATCTTCTTTTTCCCCATATGGAACCTACCAGGCTGACAAGTGAAGGGAACCAACACATACTGGACACGTACCTGCACACCTACACTCACTCGCTCAGCCTTCAAAACCACAGGAAAGGGAAGTTTTCTTATTCCTATCCTACAGGTGAAGTTCAGGGAGATTTAAAAGGTTGCCTAGGGTACATCAGTAAGAGGAAAAAATGAGGGTTGAAACCCGAGTAACTGCAACCCAAGTAACCCTTGTGCTGTCTCTGCTGCCCACATGGCCTCTCAAGGGGCGGGCGGTGGGCAGGCAGTAAGGCTGCTCGCCTGGCAGTAAATGATAAACCTTCTTCCCTTTGTTGCTGGCATTCTGTGTCTTAGGAGCAGCCCACGCAAGAAAACCCTAACGAGAATCTCCTGGCGTCCAAAAGCCCCAGCAGTGGCAGCGTGGAAGACAGGAGGGATGAGCTGGCACAGGGAGCCCCTTCTGAGGCCATGCTGCGACTCCTACAAAGTGCTTTCAGCAAAAACTTGCAGTCAGAGCAATCACCAAAGAAGTCCCCAAGTGCAAAGCTCAACATCCCTTACGAAAACTTCTACGAAGCCCTGGAAAAGCTGAACAAACCTTCCCAGCTTAAAGACTCTGAGGATAGTCTGTATAACGACTACGTTGATGTTTTCTACAACACAAAACCTTACAAGCACAGAGATGATCGGCTGCTGCAAGCTCTGGTGGACATTCTGAATGAGGAAAATTAAAATAAGTGTGAAGTCCCAAGTTGGAAATATTCATGCTTCTTCCTTCCCCTTAGATTTTGCCTGTGTCTGAAGTGGTTGTTTTGTCATTGATTCCTATGCATATTACATCCTTTGTGGTACTTTTTGGTTTTTTCCCCAAACTGTACATTTGAGGGGGATGAGCTCAAGTAGGAAATCCAACTTCCAGAATTGATTATGGCTCTTTCAAAACATGTCTTCCCTGCCTGTGCAAGTGATGTGTTTTGTTCTTTCTGGAGTCACAGTTGACACACATCCCTCACACCTCATTAGTACACCTACCTGAGCCCATTTCATTTCTCAAAAGAAAAGGCAAAACACAGGCAATCGATTAACATGAAAAAGTAATCTGCAAAGAATGAGAAAAAGAGAAAATGGTTGCTATAGCTTGTTCCCTGTCTTTACCATGTGGCTCTTCAAATTTGATGGCAAGGAAGCAGTTGGAAAGTTTCTAACAAGAGTTCACAATTAGACCCACACCCTGGGCCTTTCTACTACAATGTGTTACACATTCCTAGAGTGGCGGTATTGTCATTTGGGGTGGGGGTGGGGGGGACTAAATTATTTTGATCCAGAAGCAGTTCTTGAAATTGACCTTCTCTGGTCTGAGTGGTCTCAGAACATTCTTTGCTCAGTGCACAGTATAGAGGCCTCCATGGCTCTAACAGTGGCTGGGACTCAAGCTAAGTACCCTGGCCTTCCTCTATTTCCCCTTCTTCTGAAGGTGTCTCCTTTCTCAACCAGAAACTAAATATTGGGAGAACTAATTTATGCCACTTTCTCTGAATGAACTTACACATGGGACTTGGCAAATTCCTAGTCATAAATTTTTAAACAATAATAACCGGAAACTTCTCATAACATGCAGAACCAATATAATAAGGAAAATATTAATAATGGGGAGAACCAATGAGAGGTTTTGTTTTTGTTTTTTCAAATTGTGTTCATTAGAACAGGTTGTTCTGGATCTTTGAAACAATGTTCCTTCCTTGGCAATAACCGATCTCCAATCTTGCAGCTAGTAGTATCCAAATTCTCACCAAATTGCTTCCAAGCTTCAAACCAAAAAACAAACTGTCAGCCCACAGACCTCGTTTGTCTCTCAGATACTTTGAGTTTGATATGCACAATGTTTTAAACATGTGAATGATTATTGAAAGTATGAGATTTCACATAAAACCTGATTCTCAAACCCATCTACCCTCATGGCAACAGTTGGCTAGAACTGAGTAGAAGCTGCCTGGTTAGACCTGAGTTGTGGGTCTCCATAGCACCCTACTCCATGCCACTTACACTTATTCATTACTGGTCAGCATCCAATAGGCATTTGATTTTGCCCACTCCTACACTAAATGAATGTGTACAAAGTATAAATGCATTAGGATGAAAAACTACCCTCACCTTCTTTTAAGCAACATCTGTATAGGATAATGATTATGAGAGTTATGATCTAATTAATTTTGGTTGCATTTATAAGCCAAAAAGGAAAAAAATATTTTAGATGCTGAAAGTACCTCTGAAATCCAGTTTGATGTATTTATTGAATCTCACCTCACCTGGATGCTCGTTTATACTAATTCATTAATCACCAACCTTCTAGCCTCTTTCTCTCAATATGCTCCCAAAGGTTCCAGTCACCTACAATGCTGGTCCCACTGAGTTTGCTGTTTGCAATTCTTCCATGAAGTTTGAACTTCATAAGGCCACTCATGGTATTGAAATAGTTTAGGAAGAGAACACTAGAATCTGTCACTTGCTTTGGCTTGAAGCGTGGTTGTAAGATAAACTTTCACCTGCTGTTCTACCATTTGAATTTGTGAAGAATGAGGGTAATTCCAGAGCAATGCCCACGGTGCTTAGAGGATGGCCTAAAAGATTTGCAGTAATATCATTCTGTCCTTGGAAGTTTCACATGTTGCTTGATATAAAGTGTTGGATAGAATTTAGAATATTGCAGCACATCAAAAAGTATTAAAACTGAAAAGAACTAGAGAGCTATTAGAGTAATTTTCAATGAAAAAACCCAAAAACTAGGTTCAGAGATGCCTATAAGTGGTAATAAATGAATGAGTTGGAATTAAAACTCATCCTTTCCCCATTCCCAATCTAGTGCTAAACATATGAAACTTTCTTTTTAGTCCTTCCTACCAATATCTTTTCCTGGTTAAAACACCAACCAATTCATTGGGTTGTAGCCAAAGGTTCACTCTAGAGAAGCTTTAATGTTTAAGTAAAGTCATGTCTGAATGTTTCCAACCTGGAGTATATTGTTCAGACATAAAATAGTTTTGTCAGTCTTTCTTAGTGCCTGTATGGTTTTTTGTGAAAATGTAAGAGAGGAAACATATAATATTTCCCTTGGAATTTTAAACTATATTTTCTTTATAGGTATTTATAATGTACCAATGCTTTTACCAAGCAGAACTTTAAAAGGCCTAATAAATTATATTAAAGAACCAAAAGTTTTCTTGAGAATAAGAAAGTTTCATCCAATAAAATATTTTTGAAAGGCATGTTCCTCTGTCAATAAAAAAAGTATAATATGTATGTGTTGTGATAGTATAAGTGAAATTTGTCTAATAGCGTAATACAATGTGTAGTTGAGTCTAACGTGTGTGGTCTTAGTATTCCTAAGGGAACTCCCACATTATATACTTGATGTATTAATCACAATATGTAAAATATGCTTATAAATCAGAAGAATAAATGGTTTCCACTAAGTCAAAAAGAAAAAATCTCATGTTTGCAATAAAAAACAGGATCCCCCTCTCTTACTGTGTTTCCCAAATGGATTATAAACAAGAAAAGTAGTAGGTTTACATTAGAAAACTAATTCTTTCTTAGGAAAACAGGCTTTGTAGGAGGCAGTTTAAGAATCTACTTTAGTAAGGTATGTTTCATTTTCCTTTGTGTGACTGAGCCTTAACTAAAATGTTGAGGGAAAATTAAACCAAACTGAAAGGACTTACTTACATAGTTTTTCCCCAAACTCCACTCCTTTCTCCTAAGTCATAGTTGTTCAGTCAAACTAGAATAATCTTTCGGGAATTCTAGAAGGACTGTTCTAACCGGATTTTGTCCTCCACGTCCAGAAATCTTGAAAGTCTTCCCGTCAGGATGAGTTAAAGATATGTTTCCGTTTTCTTCTGATTCACTAATTGATTCATTCACTGATTGATGGGTTGTACAACACAATGTTGTGTTGTACAACACAATGTTAAGGTGTACAACACAATGTTGTGATGTACATACGCATAGTGAAGTAATTACTACAGTCAACCTAATGAACGCACCCAACCCCTCACTTTGCTTTTTTTTCTTCTTCTTTCTCTCTTTCTCCTCCTCCTTGGTCTTCTTTTGTGGTAAGAGCACATAAACTCTACCCTCTTGGCAAATTTCCAATACACAATACAATTTTATGAATTATGGTCCTCACGCCGTATGCTAGATCTCTAGGGTTACTCATCCTGCACAGCTGCACCTTTGTACTCTTTGACCTTTATCTCCCTATTTTCTCCCCACCCTCCCTGCTCCAGGAACCACAATTCTATTGTGTTTCTATCTGTTTAATCTTTTTTTAAATTCCACATATAAGTGGGATCATGCAGTATTTTTCTTTCCGTGTCTGCTTATTTCACTTAGCATAGTGTCCTCCAGGACATTTTCACGTTGTTGTAAATGACAGAATTTCCTTCTTTATTCAAGGCTGAATATATATATAGAGAGAAAGAGATATATAGATATAGATATATCTCACAATTTTGTTTATCCATTCATCCATCAATGGTTTCTGTTTTCTTTTTCATGTCCATTGCATAACCATTGGATTGAGTATGTACAGGCTATGAGTACAAACACAAATACACACCTGTCCCAAGGATAAACATTAATCCTTAAATACAAATTTAAACCCATAAGGAGGAAGAGAAATATTTTTCTAACTGCATTTTAATTTGCAAGATGATAGCATTAATATACGTGATAGTTTGGAGTATTCACCCTGTTCCCTCTGCCCCTGTGGAAAGAGTATACTTTCCTGGATCATTGATGTTGAGCTTGACCAAGTGATTTGCTTTGGCCAGTGGAATATTAACAGACGTGATGCAAGCAGGGGCTTTAAATGTGCTTGCAGAGTTTGGCAGCTCTTACTTTTCAGGGATCTGATGCTATAATAAGAGCATGCCCCAGGAAGCTATTGCTCCTTCAGCCTGGTCCCCAGAATAAATATATGTGGAACAGATCTAAATTAATTCCACATTCTGGAACCAAGCCCAGCAGAGCTTCATCCTGAGTGCAGCCTAAATCTGCAGCTGAACTTGTCACCTTGTCAACTTGTGAGCATGAGAATAAATGCTTGTTGTTGTCAGCCTTACTGAGGTAACAAAACTAACTAATGAAATTAAAGTTTCACTTTTTCATTCCACCAATAACCATCCCTTTCAAATTGTGTCTTCTTGAGCCTAGAGTTTGAAAACAGAGCTGCTTTTAAACCATATCCCTCTTAATGCTGATCCCCTAGCAAAACAAAGACCAAGCTTTGAAATTCTAATTTTTAAAAATCTTAGTTTCTCCTGAAAACAGAACCTCAGTTAATGACTTTTGTACAGGTATTTTATTTAGGAGGTAATAGCAGGGAACAGATGTGATTCACACATACCCAAGAGTAGCATGGAAATGGCAATCAATGGCCATCAGACATGGAGTTTCCCAAAGGCTGAATGGATATTGCAGCTCCTACTGGCATTGATGGAAGACAACTCAGAACAGACAACTATGTCACCCCCACCCCCACCCCACCCACTGCCTTGGCATTTCCATTAGCTTCCTCAGAACTTAGATGCAATCCTAGAGTAAGGGGGAAAACATGTGATTGGCTGAGATCAAGTTTACACCACTTATTAGAAAGGCAACTCTTAATAGAAATAAAATTCTGATATTTAAAAATAAAGTTTTGCTTGCCTGGGTTTTTGACATGCAACCTATACACACTGCCTATATGTATGCTGCTATATATGGATATTTTGTAAGCATTAGTCTATTGTCAATGCAGGTACAAGGAAGTGACTATAGTTATTATGTGGCCGTCATAGTCATGGCATGTGTCAGGGAGGCAGAGGCCACTGTCCAGGTTTCTATGAGGGGTCTCTTCCATGCATGCTACTTCCAGTCAGTTTGCCTGGACCCATCCAGCACTTTCACTCTCCTCCACAGCCCAGTACCCACCACCTCCACACACCCCTGTGCTACAGGTATCTTCACTGACTATTTACCTGGGGAGAGGGCCACAAGCTCCAAAAGGAATTCTTGTTCTTAGAAGAGAGTAGGGGAAAACATTCTCAGATTTGTACCTGCGGGGTTGTCATGATTGTTCTCTTTGTCCCTGTCCCTAGTAGCCACAGGGGCAGGTGACTTACAACTCTAGATGATGCGAGGAGAGTAGCCTTTGGCTTGGTTCTGCCTTAAATATCTTACAGTTACTTCTGCCTTAAATATTTTAGTTACTTCTTTTATTATCACTTCTCCTTTTTCAGATATCACCAGAGCCCAGCTCCAAACTTATTTGGGGGGAGGGTCCAGTGCTCCCCCAGTTCGTGCACAATTTTCAGTTTACAGTTTTGCAGAAATGAGTGCAACTTGAATGTTCCATGGTAGTGTGCGTAACGCCAGTTTGTTCTGAATCAGGACATGCATCTTGGATAGTATAAATTTTGAGCCAACATTTTCAAGATAAGAGATATTTATAATGATAGAGAGATGTATGGTTGTTTCAAGTTCTCTTGCCATCATCCACCTGGCCTCTCAGAGGTGGATCAGACTCACTTTGTTTATCCCTTGGCTCCGATCACTCTTTGCTCACATTCACTAGGCTTTTATGACATGAATGAATGGCCCTGAGCCTGCTGCCCTCTTGTTGTGATGTTATTTTTACTTACAGAAACCAAAAAGCCACAAGCCTTAGGTTTTCTCAGTTAGTTACCATAAATTATACTGTTCTAATAATCAAAGGGCAAAAAAATTCTGAAAATTTAACAGCAACACAAAATGGCTAAAGGTGTGGACTCTTGAGCCACGCATACATGACTCTGCATCCAGGCTCTACCACATTTCAACTGTGTGCCCTTGAGCAGGTTACTTCACCTTTCTGGGCCTTATTTCCTTGTCTATAACAATAAAGTCTACCCCTTATAAGTTTGCTGTTAAGATTAAATAAAATCGTGCAGAGGAATAATTTAGTACGGTTCCTATACATAGTAAACATTCAGTAAGTGTCAGTTTTTATTACTAGTGAGATCATTTTTCTTATTATTATTGTGGTGTTGTGAAAAGAAAATGAACTTTACAGCCAAACAAATTTGAATTTGTAGCTCTTATCTATAAATCCAATAAAGGAGAAGATATCAGAATCAATAAAGAAGATGGAAATACTGTAAAATGTTGCTGGCTAGGATTGTGTTGCTTTGGGGATTGTCACTCGAATGTGAACCTTCTCCTCCTAAGGCCACGTTGGGAACTGTTTAATCATTGCCAGGACTCATGGACAGGACTGCAATGACCAGGGAGGACTCAAAGTGACAGCTGAAACTCAGAAAGCAGCTTCCTAAGACCAAGGAAAGCCAGAGGTGACAAGTGAAGAGAAAGGAGATAATGAATAAAAGAAATCATTTATTTAATTTTGTCTTATGTCCAATTACTTTTTGTGGAATGCGTTAGAGTACCAGTTTTCAAATACAAAATTTTTACAAAGCATTATGAAGTGCTCAAATAACAATAAAAACAATAAGTTCTTGGGCCGGTCCGGTGGCGCACTGCTACAGTGTGCCGCTTGGGAGCACGGCGGCGCTCCCGCTGCTGAGGGTTCGGATCCCACATACAGACCGGTTCCCGCTCACTGGCTGAGCGAGGTGCGGGCGTAACACCGAGGGTTGCGATCCCGTTGCCGGTCCCGGTCCGGTACGGGCGCGACACTGAGGGTTGCGATCCGTTGCTGGTTGCGATCCGTTGCCGGTCACGAAAAAAGACAAAAAGGAAAAAAAAAATAGCCAAAGAAGGAAAAATCAAAATCATTCTCATAAATCTGTAGTTTCTGTAGCTACTTTGTGGCTGTGAGCAAAGACTAACATCTACGGAGCACTGACTCCCTCCTGTAAACTTCCTTACGCTGCCGGGCACTCTGCCCTCCCAGCTGGACCAGATCTTTTATTTTTCTAGCTTAATTCACGTATATATAAATAACTTCTACTCAAACTATGAACTGCTTGAGGTCAAGGTCTGCTGTACCGTACATCCGCCTTGTGCCGGTCCCGGTCCGGTACGGGCGCGACACTGAGGGTTGCGATCCGTTGCCGGACACGAAAAAAGACAAAAAAAAAACCCCAAAAAAACCAATAAGTTCTTTATAGTCATAGCATAGTGCATTGTTTAATTCAATTATCACAAGAATTGTAAAACAAACATAAGATAAATAATATTATTGTCCCTCTTTTGTAGATTAGAAAACTGAGAGGTAACGTGGTTTTTTCAAGGTCACACAGATGGTAAATAGTAGAACTGAGATTTTAACCTGGCAGCAATTTCAGAATTCAGGCTGTGCTTTACATTACCAAGACAAAAAGGTGACATAACATTTTAGAAGATATTTATAGTGTGGGAATCAAATGAGTACTGTGTGTTTTATACTATTGATTCTTTTCTGCTACTTGAAATAATAAAAATAGCTTTTATTTATTGAAAATTC